TTAATAATTTTTGTAGATTAAACATGATATATAATAAGAGTGATATCGTATTTCATCGTATTCCGACGAGTTTTATAACGCGTAGATGTAGAAAAATCGAATCAACCTGCAACAGGATAGAAAAAAAAACCATTTTCACGGTCTCCGTGCATACAATCTATGCGAAGGGAGTGTCAATGATACGTTCCAAGTAAACTCGTTTGCTTATCGCGTTCATCGCGGCCTTTTTCTCGTATTCTTGCACCGTGATCAACGAAGTCGATGAAGTCATTAACTAACATTAACGCGATACGTTAATCAAGTGTAAGTGGAACTATTTAGACGCAACGGAGCCACCGAGTAATGGGTGGTAGTTAATGCTTGTCTACGTTAATCGCCACGTCTATGCCCTGCAATACATTCCGCGGAAGCCTCGGCTAGTAATCGTTATTGACTGGTACAGATCCCCCGGGTAGTAAGTGACATTTACACGATGCATTCTGCGTTAAACTTCCCCGGAGAGACGGAGGAAGGGCGAAACGTCGTATCTCAATTCCGGTATCTATACAAACATCCAGTTTCCCTGACAACGCAACAACAACAAACGCTTAATAGCCGACACTAGAGTCAAAGTTTAATTTCCTGGCCAGAGGATAGTGTTTAAAGTGACCTCACCTCTATTCTCGTCTCCCCTTATCAGTGTTCTTTCGCGTTGTCCCTAGAATTAACGCTTCTTCCTGTGCTTCAACCCCTTTCTCAGTCGCTGCTCTCGTTTCCCGTATTTTTCTTCATTTGTTCGATACTGGAGAATGAATATAGGGTGTCTCATTTTAATACATGAATGCGATTGTTCACAGAACTATTCGTTATTTAACACTGAAACTAACAGACGGATCAAATTGGCCCATTTTAGAATTTTTAGTATGCGAGTATTTATATTATGACAAGGCTTTTGGGAAAACTGTAAAAAAGAATTGTGTATTTGTGCAGACATAACAACAGGGGATTCATTAAGTATCGAGAAATATATTGTTCTGATTTTTATAATACATTGAAAAATAACTCACTCCAATTGCTTGTTAGTTTTAGTCTTAACACTAATTGTTGGATATTATGGAAGAACGGAAGCTTTTGATATTTAATCAAATGAATGTTCATTTATACAGTATAGTTAGTTTTACACTAAAATGCTTCTAAAATGTTTTACACTAAAGCTTCTGTAGTATATTTACAAAATGTTTAAAGCAAAATCTGTAATTTAGAAGTGTACTCGGTTAACTCCGGAAGATTCAAGTGGAAAATGTATCCTTCCTTAACGTAACTGTAATATGTTCTTATTCAAATAATATATTCGACAACAGAAGTATGTGAATGTAAATTCCTGGAAACGTGGAACAATCAACAATACTATCTACTTCCTTTGAGAGTATTTCCTATGGCATTTGTATTGAAATTAAATTAATGTGCAGCTGGCGAATAAAGTTATATCTCTGACGGATATTTCAGAATATAGGTGGCGAACAATGCTTGCTCTCATGTTATAACAAACGTCTGTTTAATTAAAATTAATTAAAATCGTAATTTTCAACTACTTCTCGTACTTGTTTCCTTTATTATAAAATTTAATTACTGAATTTGTATGAAAACACAATGAAAAATATGATTTCATCGTATGCAAAGAATGACTTTTCAATGCCAATTTAACATTTTATTATTAATGTCAATGATCTTAAATCCTATTTTGTTAATTATATTACGTGTTACGAAGCAGCTGCCAGCCCTTTAGAAAAATTCCCTTTTGTAAATATAAGATACGATGACCCTTCTATATTCTTTTGAATACAGTACGTCGTGACGAAGCTAATTCTTTCTATACGAACGAAAATCTAAAAACACCTACAAAGCTAGATTTAATCTTTTGACACGTAGGATCTTAATCAGTATAAATTGATGTTTTAAATTGGTCAATGCAACCAGCTGTATTTGTAGCTGAAATGTTTTTAAGTTACCTATAAATTGTAGTTAATGATAATAGTTAACAATTATTGTCATCATCATTTGATCTCAAAACATATTTTAGAATTATGTATATATCCAAAATATATGTTAATTTTAAATGTCGTAATTATATTTAATTACAATGTAACTAATGTTTAATTGCAACATCTTAGCGGACAACAAGTTATTACTTTTTCATTGTACACGTTTCGAACATTTGGCGGTATACTTAACGAATTATTTGCAAAAGTATAATATTATCTACGATCAAAATCGAAAAACAAAAATATAACAATACATGATTTTTAACCGAAAATTTACATATAGAATCGCAGAATAAGCAACGAAGTATGAAAATATAATAAACATTCTTATGGCATGAAAACATCGACTGAAGTTTCACATGTTAAACAGTAGGACTGACTAAAATTAGATTCGTATTACTAATGTAGCCGTGACGCAAGAAAGTGCCTTTAACCTAATACAATATGTACTTAATTAGCGCGTAAAACGAATCTTTGTAGAATTCTATTTCTTATAAACAACCCTTGAAAAGTGTGGATTTCCATAAATATATACAGTTAACACCGTTCACTGTGATAGAAGATATACATTTTGAGACAAATCAGAATCAAAATTTGCTAATAATTTTAATTAATCTATATGCTTTCAATGGAAAATAGAAGTGGCACGCACAAACAGATCTATAGTGAACCGCATAATGCGAACGCAGTGGAACAATATGTCCTTTCAAGACCATGAACCCGGAAATCTTGGTTGTGTCAGCGAGCATAGTTTCTGCGCGAGTTCCACATGGTCGTGGCACTGACCCCTGCAACGCAACTCCCCTTGGTATATGACTTGCATGTACAAAGAAAAAGTTTTGGGGTTGCCACGTACGTTTCCACCCCACCGCGTTCTTTCCCTAGCATTCTTGTGTTATGGCAGCCAGTGCATAATGAAAAAAGAGTAGCGAGTAAGAAGACAGATGGTTACGATGCTCGTGTAGTATACAGTGACTCACGAGATTGATCAAATGGCATCATTGTTATAGGATTGTTATGAGTATGACTGTCTTGAAACTTTTCAATCTTGAACAAGACTGCCTATGGAAACTTCATATGTTTTCTCATGGTGCTGATATCAATTAATCGTGTATTTCGAATCTATTTAGTTGGTCTCTCAAGTGAAAATGACGAATCTCGCACCTGAACGAGTGATTATAATTTAATTGATAAATCTGCCGCATCGTAATCAAAGTAGCTTGCTTATTTTCGTAAAGAAATTGAATTGAACGTGTAATTTATTATAAAAAAGCTGAAGTATTAACTAAAATTAGACTATTAAAAAAAAACTAGTTGTATCCACAAAGTTACGACAAAATCAAATAACGCAACGGGTTAATAGAGATGGATTTATTGTGTGTTACATTTATTAATTCATTTTTGCTTCAAATATAGTCTACGATTTGTCGTTTATTGTGATTTATATAAAGGTTTAAAAGTTCATTTCAGTGGAACTTCAATTAATCATTACTATTTCTCCCAATCTAGATTTTTTTAGAAGAAAATTCTGCAACCACGCTTCGAGGAATTTCATCTTGAGTCTCCATTTACCTAAGTGTCTCGGTTAATCAGACAATCGAGATTCTACTGTATTCAATATATTGTGTCATACATTATCGTAACATTAGACTTTTCTATCAAATATGACTCGACATTATTTAATTCAAACAAGAGAAAGTCACCAAAAAGAAAATGTTAAAGGAACTAGAGGTGTAAACTGTTAAACGAATTGCTTTGGTTTCACGCGAATTTCTATCCGCGTTGGTTTGACAGTCAACGTGTCAAGCAGGGAAGAAAAAGGATCAATAAAAAAATTTTTTGCAAAACAGTTCCGCTATAATACATTTCTGGGAGGGTTGACGGCAGTTTCGAAGTGACGAAAAGGGGCGGGAGGATTCCGAGGAGAAAACAGCCGGCTAAAAGAGCGGGAAAGAGAGGGTGGCGAATTCGGTTGGACTGGAGAGAGGGGATCAGAGTACAGTCCTGTGTCCCCCGCGTCATGAATCATGCATTCTCATCCCCTAGGAACGAACTGAAGCGCTCTGCGGTAGCGCGATCCGTCCAACAAATAAACAATGTTATTTGTTCTCTGGGATCTCGACCTATTCGTAGTCGTCCAAAAGACTTCGTGAGGATGGTACAGAAGGTCGAGCTCCGGAATTCCACATTTTCGCAAACCAAAACGTTGGATCGGG